AGGACTTATTTATGAAAGCAAGATAAGGCCTCCATTTAACCAGCACCAACAACGCTAGATGTCGTCACCAAACAGCATTAAATCATGAGTTAATAAAATTGATTCGTTTTAAAACAGTTATCATGAAAGATATTACATCAGTCAATATGTCTCGGGTCTAATTTGCCGACAGTGTTCGCTACGGATCCTTTGTCAGTTATGAAGACAGTCAATGAACATTACATTACGCGCATCCCGAAATACAAATGCCATCTTAGTCGCTTTGAAAGGCTCCTGCCGGCAGCTGTCGATCGGCCGATTTGATTGTGAAGTATACTGCTGGTTTTATGTTTCATCCTCAGTCTCTTGATATCTGTAGCTATCTCAAGCAACTTCACGGTTCGATCTCCCGAAATGATTTTGCGCACTTTTTTTTTTATGTGTTTTGGAACAACTGTTGAATTTAGGGCACAATAGCGTTCACCGTGTTTAAAATGAGCAAACGATCTATAAATTTATTTTGCCGATAGTCTTTAGCCGCCATAACACCTTTCAAACCAATGGTGACTGTTAATGGTACTTGTTTTCTTTCTCTCTCAACAGCCAACGAAAGTCAGAAAGTCAGTTTTCAAAGTAATAAAAAAAGCTTTACTGAATCCACTGCAACCTTTAAACTGATTGTCAGAAATCTTATAGGTCTGTCAACAATGTGAAATCGGACGCATTTTGTGTGATGCGTTACATAAATCTCGACGAAGCGTAGTCTAGAGCCTCTAAGAAAGATCATCCTGCTGTTTGAGGAAATTTGAATGTTGTGGGCTTTGGTGGGTCTAAGAGAGTATCACGGGATGCCGCCGCAAGACAAAATGTCGGGCATTGTACTGTCGAGAGTTCGCGAGAGTGTAGTTTGTTAAATTTACCGAAAGTAGCTATACATCAATGATAAAGCAATAGCCAAATCTGCAAGATCTTAGTGCAATCATCGCAGAGAAATGCCCTGATATCGATAAAATTCAAATGAAGATGTCTATTGGAGCGAAAATTTGCAATTTATTCTTTAGGTAAGGGAAATAAAGCGTTACCACGTATCATCGAATGCGGAGAGATTCAACATATCCCTTAAACTGTTCTAAATAATTTTATGATTATACAAAAAGAAATGTTTATACACAATTGTTTCTTAGAAATTTTTGCCATTCTTCTCACAAATCGTTCCGAGAAAACGCTGGAATAAATTATGCGAAACGAAACTTGTAATGTTTTTGCTAAATTTGAAGTCGGTATCTTTATTTTTGTGACCAGGAGACGTACAGACAGGGCTAAATCAATTTAGAATTTCATGCTAATCAAAGCGGTCGCTGAAGTTTCCTTTTGTGTGTTACATACTTCGTGGGCAAAACAAAATGATTATACCCCCATCTTATAGTGATGGGTATAAAAAAAGAATAAGATAAGAATGGATTTCTTTACGCTGAATAATTCGATATACTTTCCTATTATCAGAGTGAATATAATAAAGTGTCAGTTCATAGATTATGAAAAAGAAAATCTCCACTTTATATATTTGATAATTATAATTATGCACTTTTTCTTTGGAAAATATCCTTGAATATCTGGTGAATGCATCGTCGTCCCCTCCACAACATCGTTAAAGCGGTTGTTAAAAGAGAATTATAAAGTACTAGCACACATAATAAAACAAGATTACAGCATAAAATGAAAGGATTTTCAGTGTATTAGTCAGGTTAAAAATATCTATATATATATATATATATATATGCTCTTTTATTATATATAATATGTGCAGACATGTATTTTAATTAATAATGAGTCTAAAGATTGTCGTTATTATTATATAAAATTATCATATAAACCATTACATGTTACAAGCGTTGTAATGGCATACAAAGGAAAAGCAAAAATTTAACTGATGATTTATCATCAAAAATGCAGGATTTTCTTCAAAAGTTTTTTGTTAGGCAAAAGGCGAACAGACGACCAACATCCACTGTAAAGCTTGCAAACACATATCAAGGTCGTTTTGTGAGTAAAGCGGGTGAGGCAAATAGTTTTTCAACAATAAATAAAATAAAAATATTGAAGAAAGTTAAAAGAAGACAAACAATCACTTGCACGTACCATAGTTTAAGTTTATAATTTTTGTCACAATTTTTCTCTCTCCCTTCTCTGTCATATTATTCTTGTTCTCCTTTTTTTTTTAGTGTTTACTTAATTGTAAACCCCACCATCATTGAACATTGGGGATATATTGGATATGTTCTTCTGTTTGTAACACATGCGGGAATGCGGGTTAGAGACTTTGTAAAGAGAATATCATCTTCATTCCCATAGAGTACATTTTGTTTTTTCGTCCACTTGTCCGTTTGTCTTTCTATTTCAAGTGTTTCGAAAATTCATGGTCACAAGAGTTGTTATATAGCGTACGTGCACTTAGCTTACGGGGAAAAGATTAAATATTGAATGCCGATAATAAACAAAAAACTGCAAAGATTTAAAAAGTTAAAGAAGGACTGGGCGTGCTGACCTTTTAATCACGTTCCCAGTAAGAAAAAACTTTTAGTTTATCAGTTATGAGAAATATTCAACTAAATTGTATTAATTATATATTCTGTGACCACCTAAAAGATTAGTGTAAAAAAAGTTTCGCCCACTTAACTGATACGCCTGCAATTAATAAAACAATGTTTATGTATTTTGCTTGAAGATTGTGAATATCGTAGTTTGGTGCCAAGGAAATTATCACTGTTTACTTGCTTTTTATTTCGTTTCAGTTTCTTTGTCTTTGTAAAAAGTCGCCGTTAATTAGGCTCAACTCCAAACTGACTTAAAATAGAAAATTCTCCCATTAAGGATAAAGTGAAAGATATTCGGTGCATCATTAAGTGACTGAATTTTGAAGTCGAAAAATTCACTTACTACTCCTGGAACTTCTCTCTGTTTAAAGTTTCTTTTTTAATTTTTTTTATTTTTAACACTTGCATTCACATTGAGACCTATGTGTTCGTTAATAGCGGAGTGTCCTGCACGGATTTTATATGAGCGAAAGATTATAGTTCAAGTTTAGGAAATACTTAGCAACGATTCCTTTTTGTGTAGAGGAAGTAATTGATGATCTAAAACGTCATATGCTGAGTTTTCTAGGGATTTTTTATCTATGATTGTTTCAACCAAGCAAAAACTCCTTTTTTTTTGTGGAAAAAATAACTCGTGGCCACAAAATTTAATTTCTAAGATTTGCACTGAATTTTTATCTACCCTACCTCTGTACTCTCGCCGTTGGATCTAAAAATATATCCACTCACAGATTTATTTCTCTTTATGCATAGATAAGAGACCGTTACGAAACTCCTATAGCGATTCGAACTTTTACACAAGTTTACACTTACGGAAGCGTTTACATAGACTACAAGTTGAAGCTGACGATTGTTAAGCGCTATCATAACGGAATTTCCTATCAGAAATGTGGGTAAGCCGCGAATATTATTGAAGCGTTTTTATCATTAAACGATAAGTTAAACGTTCAAGAGAAACCAGGCGCATCCCGAAAGGAATACACTATAAGAAAATAAATCGATTTTAGGCTTGCATTAGGAATGCATTTGTCGGATTAAGCGGTCAGACTCCTTACTCCCGTAGGGAGAAATAAAAAGATGCATGTACCGTCGATAAAGGGGTTACTGAACGGATACTTGTAATCCGTCTATGTCGGGACAGCCCCTTTTTGTGCTCTCAAGCCACATTCAGATTTCAGAATGCATAGCGAAAACGCTAAGTGGTCAATATTCTGGGCATAGAAACGAGTGAGTTACATAATTACAATTTACTGGATACGAATCTAAGATTATCTAAGGTTGACTAAGTTCTTAGTTTAGCAATGTTCTTATATCATTTCTTCTTACCCGTTATGGTTTCTCATGTTTCCCTGCTAGTTTTGCTCTTTTGTTTCTACGACCTATGCATCTTGTATTATGATACTTTGTTCACCATTTCATTGCTACGTTTATGCACTTTTCTGTCCGCGGTTTTGTCCGCGGACACATCTGCTCTTTGCTCGGCAGAGTAACAAAAGAAGCCAGAGATTCGTTGCTCTTTCAATATTATATCTGAAAAGTTGTCGTTTATGACCCAACTCGTATCAGCTTCGTTTCGCTTAATAGCTAGCTTACACGTAACTTAGACTAACACCCATTAGAACAGAGACAATTTCAGCCCAATACTGAGAGATAGCTTTGGACCGTGACAACAAATACCCATATATAAAAGGTTGTAAAACAATTATTAGTTTTAAAATATTGAATCGTTATATAACATATTCTAGTTTAAAGAACTATCAGCTTATGATTGGATTGGTATTAGCATCAAAGTTTTCAAAATAATCTTTTTTAGAGATTTACTATCCAAGTTTAAGGAACTTACGAGACTACTCTCACTAACTTTCTAAAAAGCGAAATGACTGAGCAGCTAAACAAAGACTTGAAAATTAAGTAGACATTGCCATAGCGTTCTAGAAAGTTATCAGAATTAAATGCAAAACACAAAAAAAAAAAAAAAAAAAAAAAAAAACTTTATTAAGCAAAATAAAAAATATAAGAAAGAGAGAAATAGCTGAGAGCAATGCTTTTCTTTTCTAGATTAGTTTTATTTTCTCGTTGATTATTTACGTAATCAAAAAAGTTTTTTTTTTTAAATAAATCTTTTGAAAATCCATCACTGTTAACTTTATAACATTTTTTTTTTAGATATATAAGTTTAGCTTTGCATGCAATGTACTTTGCTTAAAATGCATTGCATAATACATTGCAATGCATTTGCTAAAATCGTTTACTCAGCTACGTCTTCAACACACACATAGTGGTGGCAATTGTTTAGTATATAAATAAATCTCGTGCTGTGATTTCACTTACAATTTAAAGTTTTATTATGCAATCCTGTGAATGTAATCAGCTCATTAGCTAATCGTATTTTCATTTTCATTTTCATTTAAATTTTCATTTTCTTAGCTTCTCGTCACTTTCGTCGTAAAGTTCCCTATGCTGGGCATTTGATGACACCACGACGTTTATGGCTTAATAAAATACCTACACAATGTGATGTAGTTATTGAATTTCCCGAAGATGCACCTGATGAGGCATTACGTTGGCTATTGACACGTATTCGTTCGCAACCTTCTGCTGGTTTGGGCTTGGTTGTGCAAGTTAAAGCTCATGAAAGTTCACGACGTAACGCATTTTATATAACCGCTCCAACAAATATGTAAATTTTCACGATTGTTTCGTTATTGCTTTTTTTTTGTAGAGAAATAATAAACATTTCTTTTTTGTTTTTGTCATTGTCATTTTGTCATTTTGAAAAGTTTATTTAGAGCGGCAGAAGAGGCCCGTCTACCGAAACGTCTGCGACCCGATTTGGGTGGTGCTTTACGTGAGTTTACCACACGCGAAAGTCACTGTTTTCAGCAATTAAAATCCGACGAGAGTAGCACCAATTTATTTACCTCGCAAGAACGTCAATGGTTAGTATTGCAGGTATTGCAAGGTATGAGAGCCAGCCCAACCGATGTTGAAGCTTTACAGGGCCGCGCCGCCGTTGATGAGGGACAAAGCATTGTGGCTGCTTGGCAAGAAACTGGTTTAATTACACAAATTTTTCCTTTACATGAAACCAAGACTTTAACCCAACTACAAAGGTAATTCAAATATAATTTTTTTTCACTACTTCATCCTATTTAACAGACATCGTCATGACAAAATCTGTTACTTCTTTTTCCTATTTATATATATATAAATCAACTCTGTGCTAAAAAGGAGTTGGGTTAAGCAAATATTTGCACCTCAACCTTTGGGTAAGAATTTTAAATACGATATAAATACGACTGTAAGAACTTGATAGTCTTTCATTTCATTTACTTCATTTTAGACGATATTGCTGAATATTTTGGTGTTAAGGTTGCCTTGTATTTTGCTTGGCTGGGACATTACACTTCTGCCTTAGGCGTGCCAGCGGTTTTTGGTTCCATATTATATATAATCCTATGGGGTAAAGGTCAAACGGCTCAGGATATGGGACATGTCTTGTTTTCGCTGTTTAATGTGGCTTGGGCTTCGCTCTATTTGGAGGCTTGGAAACGTTACTCAGTGGAGTTGGCATTTCGTTGGGGCACGTTATCAACGCCACCCGAGCTTTTAGAACCTCCGCGACCACTATATAAGGTAAGATTAAATAAAAGTTTTCGTTCGTTATACTTAAACGTTCGTTCATTACGAAATGTTTACGAATACCTTGGATTATGCAAGACGACGTATATATATATATATATATATCTTAGCTGCGCAAAAAATTTTAAAATTTTCAATGCATTTCAATGATCATGTGTGTATGCATTTTGTTGAACGTAGGTGCATAATATTTTGAAAAATTGAAAGCATAAAAAGCTTTGAAGTATTTATGTCAATTGTCGTCTTAAAGTCTGAAAAGTTATAGAAATTTCTTACTGTCATTGATTAAAACGACTTGAAAACAACTATTACGCATTCGGCCGAAACAAATTCATTTCTTTCTTCTTTTGCATTTCGATTTTGACAGGGTTCCCTTGTTGAAAACAACGTAACTGGACGTTTGGAACCCAAAGAGGCACCGGCATGGAAAAGACGAGCATTTCGTTATCTTGTTAGTTTTCCCATAATTGGTTTATGTTTGTTACTTGTATTCGTCGTAATGTTTTTGATGTTACGCTTTCAGGTAAGTCCAAAAAAGTTCAACGTACAAATATAGAAAATATTATCCTTACACATATAAGCATATATGTAATGACGTTTATGTGTGCAATCATGTGTTGATATTGCAAAGTGTTTCGTTTGCACAAAAATCTCTTGACTTAAATTAAAAAAGGCAAAAAAAGAAGCCGTAGAAAGAAGAAGAAGAAAAAAAAAAAAAAACGATTTGCCCTAAAACTTTGTTTTAAGTGTGTGTTAGTTTAGTAACAATTTATATAATGAAAAATTTATGCACGCGCACATATGTGTATACGTTTATTGCCACTTTTAAACACTTTAAATAATGTGCTCATAAATTTTAAATAGAAAGCACAAATTACATGTTCAGCAAACATTGGCCTAAAAAAAATTTTACAGTTTGCCATACTTTGACTTTTTCTCCGCGTTAAACTTAACACTTTAAACCTCAATTGTTATAATAATAAAAAAAAAAAAAAAAGAAGAAAACAATTCTGAAAAACTTTTGTGGTTTAAGTATCCTTTACATTAACAAGACCTTCAACCTTGTAGCCACTTTGTGGGGGAAAAAACTTTTCTCTTTTAGTCTAAGCTTAGATGATACTTTCTCATAATAAACTCTTTTCAAACGCATATTACACTTTCAAAATACTTTTTTTCGTAGTTTTTGTCTCCCGTTATTTGTGTAAATCATGCTTTTTTTTTTTGTTTTATTGACATTTTAAATATATTTTTACAGGATTGGCTGGATAGCAATAACATACCTGATAAAGGAATTGGCCAATGCATATATAATTTACACAAGGTTATTATTTATTTATATGTTTATTATATACATACATACATACATACATGCACATGTGTTTGAAAATTAATTCTCATCGCGTAACCATAAGGCCTTTAATAAATATTTAATTTAATCATTATTTTCAGAATTTTATTCAATTTTTCTTTGACTTTTTCCCAAATATTAGGTCAACAACAAACTATATGGTTTATCGAATACTAATAAATTGTTGTAATAATTAAATAATAGTTTATTAATTTCTCATTAAATTTTCTTATTGAGTTATATTATACAAATTTTACGTTTGTGCTTTTGTTTCACGAATATATCATATCTCGCTGGCTTTATCTTTCTCTACCTCTTTCCCGGACATATTTTCCACAACACACCATTGCAATGACATTAATAAACCACAATTACCGTTACACGATACTCGTTCTCCATAATATTTTGTAGTCAGCTGTGAAGTGTGTACTTATAAATTATATGTTAGTTTATAATGCTTGAGCATACTTTTAGGAGTCATAGGTTTTTTATGAATGCACAATAACAAAACGAATTACGTATACGTCGTGGGGACAAAAAAAAAAAAATGAAAACAAAGTTAGAGAGAAAACTTGTTGATATATACCTGTTTTTTTTTTTAAACTGTAAACACACAGTATATATGTGCGCACACAATTAAATACAAACGCTTTTAAGTAGGCTTTGTGAATTATAATGGATGAGTGGCGATAGTGTTTCAGAGTGAAGAAATTATAAAATTTTAATGAAAATCCTTTCAAAACGTATGACATTAGAAAAATTTTATTTATGCATACTTTGTTTTAATTGTTGCATATGTACATCATTTCCGAGAAAAATTAATTACAAATTACATTTGCAAAAAATTTTTCTCTCGTTCATTTATAAAATATATGTATGGTCAGTGGAAGTTTTGTTGATGCGACGACAGTGGTTTGAAGTGTATTTTGTTTATAAAAGGGGAAACATATGTCAATGATGTATTTGGTTTTTTTTGTTCTCAGCAATGACAAAAGCGGTCGCAATGTGAACGAAAGAGTTTTTCTTTGAAAGTGGTCTAAGTCCATTTTATATTATATTTGAGGGTTTTATGTAACTGGCCTGAATTATATTTGTATATGTAATAGGCTCATTTTATTTTTTCCGTATGTTAAATTAAATTGAGTTTATAATGTGAATGTATTATTAGTTAAAAAAAATTTATACATATTATTTTTATTATTATTATTTATCAATATTGTATCTTTGCAGAAATTGAACTTATACCTCCCTCAAAGTACTCATGTATGTAATTGCTTTAAGTATGTAAGGTTCATATTGACAAAATGATGAGAATTTTGAAGGAATTTTTTATAGAGTGATTTGTAAATAGAGAACTCTTAGCAGATTGCATTCTTTATTATCAAAATAAATGGACTTGCACCACTTTGAAAATTACAATTTCGTAAAGGAGAACTTATAGAAAAAGATTTAATTAAGTAAGTGCGGGTTTCGACTATATATACTTAGGAGATGCTACGGAATTGTATAAAAATATAATTTGAAACATATATAAAATACACGATGAATGCCAAAACAAAAAAATTGTTATGATTTAGAAGGTGATTGTTAAAGAAAAAAATGAGGAGAAGAAATTCAAAAAAAAAAAATAGTTAAAAAGTTTTTCAATTTCAAGCGTAACTAATGACTTGAACTTACAACTTGCAATCACGAAGCTAAAGGACAAAGATTTGAAATTTTTATAAATTCAAATCAAAAGAAAATTATGTTTCCCTTATGTGTTGATCCTTAGATAAAGTCTACAACCTCAAGCAGTTGTCTGTTTATGCCGATAAATACGTAAAACCCGGAATATTTTTTAATGAGAATTCGGTACTTATCTCTCGTAGGTCCCAAAGTAAATATAAGTTTCGATCTCTTTATATTAGGCACATATTGTTTTTCAATAAATGAGTTTCGAAAGTAAGTAAGTTAGAAAGCTTCTTGTCAATATTGTTATGAATTCTAAATATCCGTTATCTAAAAGAGCTTTCGAGTGCTCTTCATCCTGCAATTGTCAAGTATACAAGGATATATTATATCTGTGCAACGCCCAGTAGGACTTGAGATACTCTCACCTCTATTATACCGATCGATTCAGAACCACTTTTGAAACAGTGAATCGATTTAAGTTTGTCTGTCCGTCTGCTTGCATTGTTTTCTTGCGCTCAACCCCAAATTTTTTAGATATTGCGTTAAAATTTGGTACATTTGGGGCCAAGAACGAACGCTATTGAAAATAATTCGGATCGTATTACTTTTTCGATCATTTCTCATAAAACGCCTTATTGTGAAAAATCGATGTATGGATAACTACAGTATGTCGGGTATTTAACGGTAGACAAGAGTAATTTTTGTTGTTTTTAGCTTTGAGATAATCCGAATAATGCTTTGCCGAAATTTTCCCTTATTTCTCACAGATATGAAAATTTCTATTATTTTTTTCCAAGATTTCAATCAAGTTTTTATGAAAATTGAAATTTCAATTACAAAATTGTTTTAGTTGATTACGAAACTAATTTGGACGGCAAAGTACACTATAATTGCATTGCATTTAGAAAATATAATTTAATTTAGCCAAATGAAAAGAAGCAAACAAATTTCAAGATTTCATAAAAGCAACGTTAATCCAATGCTGTTAAAAGATTTATGAAACATTCAGAAATAAAGCAAAGCATAAAATAAATGCAAAAATTCCTTATAGATAGGCATGAAATAGAGATTATAATATAAGATACATATATCCTATAAAATAAGATATTAAGACGTAACAGTTTTATAAGGATTTGAACTTTCAACATAATCATAAAATCGTATATTTATTATCGGATTAATGCCTAAAACCATACGTAAACAATATTTTTTCTTCTAATCTTAGCCATAGTAATAGTTAGTGGGAGAAACGTAATATTTCTAAGACCGTGGCCCGGTCCAAAATCACTGAGAATTTGCGAATTGTTGTTTTTCTCTCTGTACCTTAATGGGTGCATAAGAAGCTTTGTCAGTAATGTATGCAAAATGTTTTTATGAAATTTTGCTCCTTATTTTCTATCTCGGGAGTGATAACGAAGGATAGACTTTAGTTCTTCCACAATTTTTGATTAAATCAAATAGATCGCATAAAGCAAGAAATACGGTCGCATTGTTTCCAAACACAACCAAAGAAAAAAAAATATAATTCTTTATTTAACAACATTTTCACGCAAAGGATACTTTCGATGGAAGCCTCTACATGACTGTGGATCAGAGGGACCGTTCAGCTAAGTTTAGCAAAACTAATTTTCTTGCCATAAGGCATAAAGTAAAGTAAAGTCAATCATAAAGTACTAATAATTAAATTCTATTGTAACACGAAAGCTCATTGTCATGGGAGACCCTATATACTTTAAGGCCCCAAATATAGCTAAAATTTGATACATTTCATTTTTATGTCAAATTACTATTACGGATTTATTTCCTCTTTTATGGACAAATTTTAAAAATTTGCTTTCACATAACGACTTCAAAAATGAACCATTATATGGGAAGTGATCGCAAAAGTCGTCTGGATCTCATTGTACCAATTTTAGACAAAATATCTCAATAATGATTTGGAGAATGAACATGGGGAATGAATATAAAGGGATGCAGGGGCGCACATGAAACAGTAGACAGACAAACAGACGACCAGACAAGCAGACGAGACCGGTACAATAAAGTCCATCTTCATTCTTTTAGGACATACATACATTTGCACAAACTTAATACACCCTATTAGAAGTGCTGTGGGTTTTAAAAAAAAAAAAAAATAAAAAAAAAATATCATGCGATAAATACCCGTTTTTCTTGCGTTATAGACAGTGCGAAAGAAAGGAAAAACAAATATATTACAATGAAATTAACTTAAAATCTCACATTTATTATTATGATTTTTTTTTATTTATTTTTATTTTTTTTTTTTTTTTTGTAGTAAAAAGAGAATTGCAAAATTAATATGTTATACTAATGATGATTATAAAAGTTTTACCAGAAACTTAATCATGGCATTTGGCTTTAGTCCATAAACATGAAGTACAAGCCTGCGAAATTTCCTTAAAAACCATAACAAAATGTTTACGTTCATGAAAGCAAAGCTATAATCAGATAATAGCTGTTGTTATAGCAATTTCGTGGGTCAATAATTTCCAAGACCTTTAACACTTTAAATAGAAAAAATTTACGCATTTTAAGTTTGAAGATAATATAGATGCTAGAGAGTTCATGGTCATTTAATTTCAAAGCGCTCACTTTTTCAAAGAAGTTTTTCTCTCTCAGGTAACATTAAACTGAAGCAAAAATATTTATTCTTCCTTGCGTATGCATATACGTACGTACATATATATAAATATGTACAGATATGAAAAGTTTTGATTGAGGCATTCCATTGATAATTTCAACAGTTTATTTAAAGCTTTTGCTGTTGTGTGTGTGTGTGTGTGTGTGTGTGTGTGTGTAGTATTGGATTAATGGAAGTTGGAAAGCGATTTAGAAAATAGAATTTAGCTTTAAAACTTATAATTGAATATAAAGTAAATAACATTTAAATGTATATTGCATTCGAGTAAAAGAGAATCGAAGCACTAGTAATTATTCGCTCCTAAAAACTATTAGTCTCCTTATATATATATATATATATATGTATATATAACTCTACATATATTTATATAACGGTGTTTAAGTCTGCAAGAGAACATTTGTCTTTATGAAGAAAATGTTTATTAAGAAAACTAATTCCTTTCCTTCTTCCACTAGATGCAATTATAATCGTTGTTGTGTTTTTTCTATGCATTTCCCATCTAATAGGATTGGTGGGACTCTAAGCTACCAGTGGAAGGTGTTGTTTGTTGTTTAAGTGTTATTCCCAAAGTGTTATTAGCCGGCGCGATTACCCTAATGGATGAAGCTTATTACAAGTTGGCTGTATGGTTAAATGATAAAGGTAAGATATAAAAATTCTATTTCTTTTTAATACTTATTTTATTACATTTTGTATTACACGCTTTACGCATTGGCTTAGCAATCAGACACGCGATTCAAGTAGATTTATTCATTACCAGCATTATTATTATATTCGCTGATTTAAAATTACTTTTTAAAGGCATCTACATGAATAGCTTATGGGTTTCCTTAGTATTACTTAAAGTAAATACAAAATTTTCGTAACATTTTGATGAAAACCAAGCCAGGATAACATCATTTTTCCCGTTAAATTCACATTAGAAGATTATCTGATCTTTCGAGCCTATATTACGGATAGTATTGTCTTATAAGTAATAATAATAAGTAAGAAAATTATATTCAATTTTACCGAATATTTTATACGCCACCCGTTGTCCTTATCCTAGTGAAGATTGAAAAAAAAAATTAAAAAAGTGAATATATTTCGTAATATTGGGGAAGTGTGGCGCGATTTTATTGACATTTTGTAGAAGATACATGGGATTTTTTATAGTGTGCATATTATAATTTATGACGTAACTCCAGAAAGTGAAGGCGTTCTCTGCTTATCTTGCACGGTAAGTTTGTCCTTTGACCGATTCGATGCCCCAAACGTTCTGTAAAGCTTGAAGCCGATAGTTGTATCTTTGCAGTCGGGAGAATGTTTCCAATAGGCTTAACACAGGCGGACAAAGGGAATCAGAATTTGATGGCAACTAAGAATATGCATACTTTGTGGGGTCTCTGAAGATTCCTTCTGGGCTATGCAAACGTATTGGCAAAATGAAACCAACTTGTACGCCGTTTCTCGACAAAAACCAATAATGTAAGGTGGTAAGAAGACACTCTAAATAGATTTGCAAAATTTTGCAGGAATTGGAGCAGCTTTTGGCCATCTTTCCATATGAATGCTCTTACAAGAAATAGAATTTTATGACAATAATAAGAATAAGGTTTTAATTATATATAATGAAGGTTGGCTCAGAATATGATTTCACTTATAATATATGTTTATTCCACTAAGTTTGGACCGTATTGGAGGCGTATTTCTTAGAATAGGTATATTTTCCCAAGGTGTATAGTGTTTTATAATTAAACCAACTAAAGGCGAGCTCGTATAAGACATTCAATAATCGGTCCCGCCCGACTATAAGGCCTTACATCGAATCTTCTACTACTTTATTAAGATGTCAACAAATACCATTTTTTAGTTCAGCCATGAACTTTGAACGACATTTATTATTTGTATAGATGCTGAATACATTTATTATAAGTAGAGACATGTTCACGTTACGTACATATATTAAACTAAAGCAAACAAGCAAACTATTGAACGGTTAAAAGTTGTTTTTTACGTTAACTAATACATCCTTAATTTGCTCTTTTCTTTTAGAAAACTATCGTTTACAGTCCAAATACGAAAACCATTTAATAGCTAAAGTGGCTCTCTTCCAATTCGTGAATTCTTTTTTGTCATTATTTTATATAGCATTCTATCTTCGAGACGAAGAAAAACTAAAAGAGGTAAGTCAATCCATGAAATCAGATTAATGGCTACTTCTATTAACTTCAGGGAAGAATAAAAGCCGATAAAAAGCAATTAGTCCTGAAATTAAACTCTAGGTGCCAGTGAGTGAATCAAAGCCACTTTTGTCTTCGAGTTTCAAAATGGTTTGGAAACCATTTATATCATATTTTAGATCAATTTCTTGCGTAGGTTGTGTGGTTTTGCTTAGTGGGTGAGGTCCGATCACGCCTATTTCTAACGCTTAACTTGTGAGACCTAACGTACACGCTATGCGATAAAAAGGTAACACATACAAAAACATGTTGAAAGATTTGCGAAATGTACGGTGAGGACGCTGTGAGCGCACGAAGGACTCAGGAGCGATTTACTCGATACCGTTCCGTAAATTTCGTTATCAAAGGTGCACCTTGCAGTCACTGAAAGGGTCGAGGAAATTTCGCAACTGGCGGAACAAGACGGGCACGTAAGTTGTCAGGAATAGGAAAGGCACTAAACGTCAAGCACATGACAGTTTGGAATCATTTGAAAAGAACAGGCTACAAAAAGCAGCTCGAAACCGCAGAAAAAACCGCAAAGATTTTTTATATGACCCCTTACATAGATTTGAGTGAACATTTTCTACAAATTCCCAATCAGAACTTTAGCTCGGATGTGTTCGTCCTCGACGGTGTTAGCTGTAATCCTAACCCTTCGTCTTTTGTCGACTCATGGTTTGCCTCTAGCTTATCGGTAGCTTATAATTTTCTACCCTAAGAGCTACCTACCTTTGGAACCTTTTGTTAGTGATAAATAGAAGAACGATGGGACGAAAAGTCCCAGATCTTCCCAGAAGATCTTATGCTGATGAAGAGTATGTAGACAATGGGGGATCTTTGATCTATTTTTTAGGGATGATATATATATTTTATAAAAAGTCTAAAAGCAATTTTGGTTTGAACCTGAGCCAAGGGGTATTATTCGATGATGCGGTTTGTTTCATTTTATAATTTTAATCTAAGCAGTATTCTACGGGCTTCGATTATAAATAACACCGGAATATTTCTGCCAATATGTTCGCTTTTTATAATTTGTTTTCTTTTTTTTCTTTTATCTTACTATGTCAGCAATTAGCTGGTCTCCTAATTTCCCGTCAGATAATAGGAAACTTGCGCGAGTCTGCAATACCGTATTTCGTCGAACAATGGCGTTTAGCTAAACTCAGTTTTACCATGTGGGGTGCTCTAAGTCCTACTCAAAGTGTAAATCGGTCTATATTGGATTCGGCTGATCATGCACCAAATGGAAATGGTGGTAATAATGCTGAGAAACCGGCACCGGAAACAGGAAGTGCTGCGTCCACACCCCAAACGGTTGGTACACCATCAAAACAAATGCCTAAAAAATCAGTAGATTCCATTGCATCAGTATCAACACAAATCTCTTCAATATCGATAGCGTCCAGTAAACGTAATATTGGCCAAGCGGAAATTGAAAGTTCGCTATATAAAGTAAATCGTTCAGAAATGTTTTATTACTTTCATCAGTTGGTAAATATTATAAATTGTTCCTTTTCTAAATCTGTTTTCTTTACTTTCATTTAGTATGACGGCACGTTTTCCGATCATTTGGAAATGTTAGTGCAAATGGGTTATGTAGTTTTATTTTCGGCTGCATTTCCATTGGCCGGTATTTGTGCATTGATTAATAATCTAATGGAAATAAGGTCCGATGCTTTCAAATTGGCTCATGTTCATCAAAGGCCATTCGGGCAACGTGTAGCTAACATTGGTACCTGGCAAAATGCATTAAGTTTACTATCATTGGCTGCTGTCATTGTTAATTGCGCCTTAATTGGTTTATCCGGTCAAGTGTCACGTTTATGGCCAGGCTTAACCACAGTACAAACCATTATACTAATTGTCACTTTGGAGGTAAACAATAATGAAGTTGTCCGTATGCAGCACACAATGTGATAGTAACGGTAATGGTGTTGTTTTCTTTTACTTTTCATTTTGAAGCATATCATGTTGGCTTTGCGGTCAGCGCTTACTTGGCTATTGCCTGAGTTACCATCTTGGCTGGCAGCTGAAATCGCCAGAGCTGAACATTGTCGTCGTGAAATGCAATGCAAAGGTACTTCGCCACGTCCCACACCACCAACACCACCGAGTACTACGTCTACGCCTGCCGAACATGAATTGTCGACTTTAAATATGGAAGCAGTTAGAAGCGGTAAAGATGTGAGAAGCACGGAAGCCGCAACTACCACAAGTGAGCAAACTCTGAACAGCCAAATATCCGTAGATGTCTTGTACCAACAACAGGCAGGCCATTTGACAAGTAATTATGAATCCTATTTAGATGATATTTCTCGCTACGGTTTACGGCGTAATGTCGAAACTGAGGAAAACGTGTTCGTGAGTCGTGATTCAACACCGGATTCCCCACCTTCCCAGGTAAGAAAAAATCATAATATCCTTTTGCATTCACTCTGATATGGTTTTTAGACAAGTACGATTTTGATACGTCCCTTGCATGAGTCTACACCACCTAATAGTGGAGCCTCTTTAACGAGTCTTAATCAGGATTTAAGTCATGGACTTAGTGGGTAAGTGGTAATTTATTGCTGTGAAATTGTTTTCACACAAACTCTGCTCTTTTTTTTTTTCGTTTTTCTCAACACTTGTACTTAATTTTCTTTGTTTAATTTTTTTAACATAATTTTTAAAAATATTTTTTTTATCTTAAAACCAATTTCGTGATATCCTCCACTAAAATATGATCAAAAAAAAAAAAAAAAACTATGAAAATGCAGTTAATAATTTCAAAGACTAAAGATGTAAGATCGACGTTGCTTTTAACTCTGCCCATCATAGTTTCAATCAAGTGAGATCGTTTGTATTGTTAGTTTTTAAATCATTAAGAATTTAGTTAATTGAAAATTCTTTCAATATTGGTGGAGGGTAAACAAAATTCGGCTTTAAAGTCGAAAATAACACTTACTTTTTCTACTATTCACACTTTATATTTATAATACAAATTGCCACGTGAACACATCCTTTTTTCTGAAATCCTCACACAATAGCCTTAGTATGAATACGTTTCCCTCTATCTATCTCTTTCTCTCTCTCTCTCTTTGCCTCTCTCTCTCTCTGAAAATACCAAAAAAATACATTAAGTCTTTAAATAATTTTTTTTTAAAAATTAAAAAAAGAAAAAATAAATAAAATATATATATATATATTTTTTGGTATATAAATTTTTGTATCATAGCGCATGTAAAAGTTGTAAGCAGAAAAAGAAAATACTGGAAATTCCTCCATTTCGTGGATATTCATTTCGTAATTTAAGCTCGATACCAAAACAAAGATTGCACGTTTTAACCGGGTAATTTAATCGATAAACCAATGTTGTTGTAGTTTTTCTCGTTTTTTTTTTTTTTTAGTCGTTTTGTTTCCAACAATTAATATAATATTGCAACTGAATGTTTGCGTAGCATTAGTGTTTGTGATAATTAAGTATTTGAAATCTTTGCTGGCGAAAATTAGAAAGACGCGTTAAATAATAGTTTTATATTAATATATAGAAAAGCTTGAATGAATGTATGTATGTATGTATGTATGTATGTATATGTAAACATATTTTGAGTGTATAAAACTTGTTATTCAAAAACAAAAATGGCTAATAATGTGTACTAAAATTTGTCCACTTTTTTCATACCTTTTTTTCTTCTTCTTCTTTTTTTCGTTCATTTTTGTAAATGATTCTTTTTTTTTGCACTAAAAAATTATTCAATTTTATTCATTTTTATTGCATTATTGCGTAATTTCCTCTCTCTCTCTCTCCCCTTTCCCAACCACCCGTCGCTTTACTTGATCATTTTTCCCATTTGCTGTTTTGCGTTTGATTTCATATTAAACATATAGCGGTTCGGCAAGCAGTACAAGTTCTTTGGCCTTAAATGCCCGACAAAATATGCATATACCAGATATACCGCCATTTCGGAAGAAATCAAGCGATTCAGCTGAACATACTGGTAGCAGTGCTAGCAGTAGTCCTCAGCGTACCCGTCAACCGATTTTTGCCTCTTCATCACCTCCACTACCACTACTACCGCCATCACCACCACCACCACCACCACAACCACCATTAACGACAGCTACAACAACAAAAATATCGGAAATACCACCTTTTAAACCACGCAAAATCTCTGCCGAGAGTACTATGCATCTAAATATGAGCGTAAGACACATTCTGTTAATTCTTAACACTTACTTCCTATTTCTCTTTCCCTTATATCTTTGTTTGTAAATAATTTCCATGATCGCTTGTAACTCTGTTTCTTTCATATAACATGCATTTCATTTTTCTAATATTTACTCACAATTTAATTAATATTCATAAGATTTATTATCTATATCTCACTTTTATCCTGATTCAATTATTACCTTTTTTTTTTGTATTGTTATTATTGTACAAAACCCCTTACAACACCTGAAAACAGGAAAAATATCCACAAAAAACTCATGCACCTGAATGGATGTCACGTTTAAAAGTCAGCGATAACATTAATCTGCATAGGAGCATAGATTGCATAGCTAAGGTAGTTACATGCATAACATAAAACATGAAATTACATTTATTTATTATACATCATTTTACATATACAACTGCATCGGTAATACTATCGCTAATAGTCATTATATTCTACACCACTTGTCGTACAGGATATATTGAATTAGCGCAAACGTATGTAGCACTCAGAAGAGCTTAAGATAAGACCCCCTTTTATTATGACGATGGATTCAGAATCATTTTCTAAATCGCGCAAAGTCTTTCTGTCCGTCTTTCTGTATGTTCGTCTAATGTCTGTTCGTGTAAGTGTATGTTCAAGCTACAAGGTCGCAATTTTTGAAGTAATTTAATGAAATTTGGTACACTGATTTGGTGCTTTGACCGAAGGACGAATGGTATTGGAAATGGTCGGACCATTTTTTTGACCACTTCCCCGATATAACGTCTTATTCTGAAAAGTTGTTACATCGAAAAAACTACAAATTTTCAAAATTCCGCGACGTAAGTGGATAAATAGTATTATTTCGGCATTCTGAGCAGGTGTGAAAACTTTCGACCAATTGGGGCAACTTCTCATATAACCGTTCCTACGGAAACTGAATGTTCATATGGTAAACAGGTCGAACTTTCTATATCTCAGGACGAAAATTGGCTCATAATAGCAAATTGAGAAAGAAAGCTACCTTAACGAATTTGGCGCACGTAGGTCTATTTTTTGGATACCACCGCATATAAGGATAGTCGTGCAACGTAAACACTTATATACCAAAAAGGAACAACTGTTAATTTTTCTTGTGATGAAAATTTGTTCATGATAGTAATTAAATAAAAAAAAATCAAATGACCATAATTTGAAACTACGTGGATACATTTCTTGGCCACACCCCATATAAGATATCTCGTAAGCAGTAAGTCCTCGGAAAAAGCTCAATTTTGAATATTTTATGATGAAAATTAATTCATCATTTGGATTACGTAGGTTTGTTCGTTTTTTTGGACCCCTACACATATAGGCGTTATCACGAAAGGCAAAATCTAATCTTCCAATATGCAAGCTTTCACGAAAATTATAGCTTTCCATGAAACTAATGCTAACCTTTTAGTACATTATTACCAAAACGAACGAACAACTGTGCTAGGTGAAGTGGTGTAGGGTGTGTAATAGTCGGTGCTGCCCGACTATGATGTTCTTAATTGTTTTTTTTTTTTTAAATCGGTTTGCGGGAAGTATATCATATATGGTCTGTCAAATTATTACCACAAAACTAGTTTCCTGCCGTCACATATATAAACGAAGAAGCTTTTTCACGCTTCCCATTAGCTTATTGAAAACAGTTCAAACCAATAATTTTTATTAGCTTTGTCGCCCTATTTTACTAAAAATCTTAATCATCTTCTCTGAAGGAAATTAGAATACCAGGTTATCTTATTCGCTTAAGACCGAAAATTAGAATCAAGATCTTGTTATCCAGAAGAGTGTGGTCATGTAGCTAGTCTAGTCTTCTGGTACAGATAGTTAACAGTTTTATCGTAAGCTTTGCTCGGAGGAATATAGTCATTAAACGCGAATTTAATATGTTCTACTGGCTCCGGATATTCGTCGTCTTCACCGAATTGATTCGCTGCAGAGTCCTATTATTCACGGGGCTATACATTAGCTTGTTTGTGACAGTTTTAAGCTGTAAAATGTGATCATAAAATGCAAACTCACTATATTCCAATAAAAATAAATGTTAATCGAGTTTTACGCTTATTTATGTACAGGCACACTCGTGATGGCCGCAAGAGTATGAATATATGTGTGCATATAGAAAAGTATACATATATACATTTATATAGAAATTTATGTAGAAATAGTTCAAACAAACGCGCATAAGAATCAATCGTATTCTCTTAACCATAAAATGCGGATTTCTCGTAATCTGTCAGGATCGAGTATTAATCGTCTTTGCTGAATTGATGTGAAACCAAAGGCCGTAGTTATGAAAGCAAAACATCACGTAATAAATCTCCTGTCTGACACGTATATGGTAACACTGTTGACGGACCTATATGGTTTGTTGATAGTAGAACGGCCTTCAAAACATTTCGAACATTAGTTTACACGTTACAGTCAGTTCAATGACGCAACTCTAGTAATTGTCGAAACAATGGCAAAATCTGAATTTAATGTTTTTAGAAAAACCACCAATTATTAGTGCAAAAAAAAACCAATCAAACTGAGCAACGGCTTAAAAAGTGCTGTGGCATCTTCGCCCCGTCGAAAACGACAATTTGTCTATGGTTTACAGATGTTAAACAACTCCAGATGACTCCGATAACAGTTAGCGCTCTGTTCACACCGAAATCGGTAGTTGTTTCAGAAAACATGAAAAAAGTGTACAGCATTGTTTTGGAAGGCCGAAAAATGCAGTTGTTGTTCTAAAGACACAAGAAAGCAGTGTATTTACCATTTTGCTTGAACGTTGGCCATTACTGTTGACAACAACATGTTGAGGATTCAGAAGAGTGTTTTATGCTATTTAGATGAAATAAATGAGATTTTTTCAAAAGATGTCTGACAGAGGGTTCATCACTATGCTCCAGCCGGACGAGAAGCAACCCGGGAAAGCCACTCAGAGCGACCAAAAAAGCGTTGTCACTAAAACAGCTCCAGCCTGTAAACTAACGGTCGGAACGTCACAAAATTTTGACATGTATTGTTTCGAGGGTGGCGTTATCGTGAAACCGTATGGGTCTGTCATAGATATGTCACATCAGAAACTTATTGAATGATTTGCACGAAAATGTGCATTATTTTCTAATATTATACAACATTAGTTGACTTATCCGACAATTTGCAAGCGTATCTTCCATTAATAAGATACCTAAAACCAACTTTACTGGGTTTGGCAAAAAGACCAAATCGTAAATTTATATTGCTCTGCTAGAACCGAATATTGATTGTGTTTTTTTTTTCACCTAACAACTCAATGGTCGTGGGTTCATATCTCGACTACGGTATGTTTTTAAACAATGCCTTTGATGTACTATTGCTTTAAAACTTTAATCTTAGAATTTATTTCCCTGGCCAAATATATAAATAATAATAATTGTCTTTTTCCAACTAATGCGGACCAAAAGAAAGTTGAAAGATTGTAATAGCATTAATCGAACACATCTCCATCATTATCTGCTTAATCAGAAAATTGCGGTTTTAATTGAAGCAAATGCGGAATAAACGTTCGGCAGATTTTTCAGAAAGATTATGATTTACAGAGGAAATGCTCTATTGGAACCAGCAGCAGCACGTAAAATGTTTGCCCGTTTTCAAATTTTTATATCTAGGAAGATTTCTGTATCTATGAGGTGTCCCGCATCACTCGAAAGATTATTAATAACATCGAGTTGACGAAGACCGGTACTTAAAATAATGACATCGCTGCAGAACTAAACATTGACTATAAAATCATTTATATGAGAGGTATCACACGAATTAAGGGAAAAAAATTCAATAAACTGCATTTCCATGTCCCATGTATCGCTACTGAAGTAAATGCTGAAGCAAAATGAAGAGATTGATAATGGGCAGTAAAAAGTGGATAATCTATTACAACAATGCGGCTCCAATTTGCACAGCCGAATAATACCATTCTCGGCTATCAAATGCGATTAAAACGTGCAATGGATATAAATAATGATTTAGCAAAAGTTGAGATGAATCGGTTTTGAGTTTTGAAGAGTCTATCGAATGGTGGGCCTGTTGCTCTGGAAAATTCGGTAATGGCGTAGAGCTGACTTCAAAAGAAGCCTATGAATGTCAGTTGATTTAGTTTTTCGCCAGGAAATCTCGGAATTTCTATAGAGTTAGCAAAGGTTATCGATCAAAATGGCACACTTGATTTAATAACTTTCATTCGAGTTATACGAATAAAATGTTTGAATTTTTGCTAAAAACATGCCACGTAATGTTTGCTTTACTTACTATATGTATAATATACTTACTTACATATACCAATCTTATATTATACTTTTACATAGGCCAAGGAAACTTTTATCCCAGATTTTAAACCGATAATCGATAAACTTTCTTCGTGGTGGCTCTGAAGCGGATCATGCACATTTTCAATTGCAGCTATGCTCATAAATTAAAAATATGTAGGTTAAGGTACAACTTTTTATTACAATTTTCCACGTCCACGAACATTCGAACCGCACTTAGGCGCAATTAGGCGAACGCATAATTCGACTCAGAATATTGCCCTTGTGTAAAAGAACGTATCAATCCTTTTAATTCTATGTTGAATACATTTCGAAGATGCAAAAGGAACAATTAATGTAGTATATTGTTATCGTTTCATAGTTAGTTATTAAAGATATATCTATGCGAACGTTTCCGTATTGTTTTTGTGAAAAATTTTTGGAATAAAATCGAAAAGCCCGATCTATGTATATAAATATTATTTGCAATAATGACTTGTCTTTAAAAATTTGCATGAAAAAAATTGAAATTTTAATCAATTTTCTCTTTCCCCTTCGTATGTTAATAAATATGTTTTTGCATTTATTAAACATTTTTTTATTGATGGGTACGGAAATCTTATTACAAAACGATTGCCATCGATACATTGTATGCTAATGTAATTTATGTAAATAACGCAAACAACGGATTAATAACCGATTAATGCAAATAACAAATCAAAATTCTTGTGCACTAAATCGCAAAAAATTCTATAATAAATAAACACTACTCACACAAATCCATAATTTTTATGCACTGTGCACTGCTAAATACAATAAATTTTTCGATCAAACTGCTATTTTGCACACTCTAACGCATTCTATCCTTGCATCATACAATATTGCGTGCGTATGTATAATTTATATGTACGTATGTAAATGCAATATGATACGAATAAAAAGGAGCTTAAAAGCACTACAGACACAATGGATATTTTGAAGCCGGCACCTTCTTGGAGTAACGTGACCATGAAAGCACCACAACAAATCACACAGCAACAGCAGCAACACACGTCTCCATTAACAACGGCAGCAATTGCACAACAATCTCACACTTCGGCACATATAGCGCCCTCGTCATCATCCTCGTCAGGGGGTGGCGTCAGTGTAACGGGCGCGGTTAACAGAACCGAAATTGCACGAGCTAGTGTAAGCAGTATGCCCACTTCCTCATCTAACTTTTTACAGCAGCAACAATCTACGGATAAAGAGCAGCCATCAACCTCGCAACAACAACAACAACAACAAGTAAGCACAACAACAAAATCAGGTAGCGGAAGTGCTACTACCCCAGGTGGATGTACCGATGATGAAACAAAAGGTAAGAGACTAGATATTAAAAAATTGGATCAAATTGATCTCTCATCTATATTCTTGCTCGTTAAGCAGCGGCTGAACTGGCTGCTAAGAAATCCCGCCTAAAACAAAAGCTAGTTAAAAGTGCCCGTTCCGTAGCAATATTTTCATTAAAACTTAAAGAACGTCGGCAAAGGGAGGCAGAAAAAGCAGCTGCCATTGCTGTAGAGCATGCCAAGGTAAACGATTTGAAGGTTTTTCCATATATTATGGCATCTTTACTCTCGTTTTTCCCATATTGTAAAGGCTTTAGCAAAATTGCCACCATTACCACAACCGGGCGGTGAATTATCTTTGATACCCATCGAACAATTAATAAAAATTGAAGATATTAAACCACCCACTTTGAAATCGCCACCTACATCATCAACAACAACAGCCACGTCATTAGCTTCTTTGGCATTAGTAACTACAGGTTCGAGTGCGGTATCATCAGCAATTACAACAACAACGGCAACAGCTAGCACAACTTCCTCAGCATTACTAGCGGCCGCAGCTGCACACTTACAACAGCAACAACAACAACAACAACAACAATCGCAATATCATCATCAGCCCCAGCATCTACAAAATCAACATCCGGCATCAGGCAGCTTTTAAAACGCATAGAAAGTAAAAATGAATTTAAATAACCTCGAATTCATTCAAGCATTGTAAATAATCCCCCAGCACAAGAGAGAAGGATTCGTCGTATATTATACATACATACGTACCATACACAAGGGTTAATTTCTAAAATATGAAATATTTTTAATTCGATTTACCGTCGAAGCACAAATTTTTGAAGACTTTAAAAAAAATCAAATTTTTACTAAGTAATAATAGATGAGAGTGCCCTCAGTGGTAGATGTTTTCAATAAATAATCCTCTTTAAAATTATAAATGGTATCGGGACGACCCAGGTCTTTTATAATAATACATTTCTATGAGAAGCAATAGAAGACGATTAGTCTCATCGACGAAACGGGAAGAACCATAACATCAACTTTTGTCGACATAAAGTATCTCAATGAGTAATAGAATCTTCAATCTTCTTCTACAAAACGACAGATATACGACAAACAATAGTTAACTTTTACGAAAGTAATTGACACTTACGGACCAGTAAAAGACGAAACTATAGAAGCCAATAATCGAAACTACTAAGAAACGAGAAGAAATGAGTGCGTGTGATAAACATTCCTCTGTGAAGAGATGCATGCCAATGATCGACATGCAATACATTTCTGCGAAGCAAATGAATATAATGATGTCCTTGTACGAAACAGCAAACCTGTTTATTACCATAAAGCAGTCGAAAACGAAAAACTTCCCTCTAATCGGCTTTCCGCGGTCTCTTTTCTTTTCACCTAACTAAAGAAAGGAAAAATGTAATCGTCTTCTGTGAAACATAAAAAGTCAATGATTGTCCGAAGAAAATCGACGACCCCTTCTGCCTAACGAACGTTATTTCTATAAACGAAACAGAAAGAATAAGTTTCCTTCGAGCAATAGATAGCGATATGATATCTGATGAAAGAAAACTTATTCTTGCTTCCTACTAACTAATGTATGCAAATATGTAAAATATTTGAAAGAAAATATAATATCATTTTTGTCAAAGTACATTTTATACTTCAAATCTATTCAATATTTTTATACTTTTGACTCGCAAACTTCTTTAAACTTCTTCAAAGTTCTTAAAAGTAAAAAGCAGTATAAAATTCACAGAAAAACAGGAGAAGAACTAAAAGCTAAAAAGAAAAAAAGAAAAAAAAAATCAAAGTGACTTAATATACAAACGAAAAAGTTAAAAATATTTACATTTAAAAAGGAACTATTTTACAACATTATTAAATAATAAAATATTTTACAAACAAAAAAAAAAAAAAAAAAAAAAACAAGAAAAACAACTTAAAACTTAACAGCTGAATAGGAAAGTAGGAAAATCTAAAAATCTGTAGTACTATAGTTAAAATAAGATTTTGAAAAAAAAAGATTTAGTTTTATTCTCAAATCATGCGTAGGTTAGATTAGTAGAGAGTCGACAGCAAATGAGAAAAAATATTACATGCGAGATATTAAATTTTTTGTTGCACCTATAGGCAAACGAGACAGAATAAAAGATTGGCTGTATTTTAGAATTTCTTTTTTATTATTTGCGAATATGATCAGTTGTAATCAGCGATACATATTGGACTTTATATAAATATATTATTATACATGTAATGGAGATATACCATTGTATAGAGAGTCGTCCATGGTTCCTTCCATTTGCCATTTAAAAAAAACAAAAAACAGAGCATATTAAAAGTAAAAAATAAAAAAAAAACTCGCTTTTAAAACCAAAGAAAAATTTAACTATTTACAAAAACAATAAAAAAAATCTCAAACAAATCTAAAAAAAAATGGAAATTTTAAAACCTACAGGAATAGCTTTCTTTTTCAAAGTTGAAGAAATGTATTTTCAGACTAAGCTTAAAATAGTAATAGTGATATGTATTAAAATCATAACTCTTTGTAAATATATTCAATTACTTTAGTGATTAATATAAACTTGGCACATATTCAAATAAGACAAACTAAATTCGTTCTTAAACGAATTTTCAATATTCACCACCCACCAAAATGCAAAAACTTTCGATCTGCATTCAATTTCTTGCAAATCTATACTTTCTATCCCTATCTATTCATTAATGCAAATATTATTTTTGATATTTCATAAATGAATCCTTTCGTGATAATTTGGCCCTTTTATTAAAAGAATTTCTTAACAAAGGAACGGCCTTATTCAAGATCTTTTTATTTCTCTCAAGATTATTTGAATTACTAGAAACTCCTGCATAGAGTCGGGACACCTTCAAATACTTATTTCCTGTAATAATTGCGAGAAACCGTTAATGTGTTGTAGTGTAGCTAATGAATGAAGGATGAATTTCCACTAAACATATTTACAATGTCTTTAATAAGTTAAAATGTCATGACATAACCTCAAAAAGGGAAACGTCCAAGAGCCGCCTCTTGCAATTCGTTTGAAGTCTCGTTGAAGATGTAAGGTTTTTTTTTTAGAAATTACTTTGCATATTTTAAATATTTATATTAATATTTTTGAAATTATTTATTAACATTTTCCAGTTACACCCTCTAGTATTTAGGAGACACCGAAGGATTTGAACTTTATTATACAATAATAAGCAAGAGCAAGCATTTTTATTTTTGTATTCAAATAAATATTAGATTATTACTTTGAATAGAGAAGACATTTCAATTCGAAAGATTTTGTCATTTAATGATCAAGAACAACATTTACCGTATGCCTCGAATCAGCTAATCTTAACCTTATCCAATTATTGCTTAGATTTATTTTCAAGTCTTTCGATTTTCCCTGAAACAGAGTTGTTCAGGGGGAGAGCTGTTGATAAAGTGCGAATCAGTGCAACATGAATTTGCAGCATCCTTCTTTCCGCTATAGTATTCACGGCCTTCGCGAATCAAAGTCTAATCAAATCAACTTTCTGGCTACTTGCATATAAAGCCCAAAATACTTTTTGATGATGAATATTCTTAATGTCCTACTACAACTAGATTCAGTTGATTACAAAAGTTAGCGCACTTTTCTAAAATGAAATTAAACAAAGATCTCTTCAACTATGAAGTCAATCAAGTTTATAAAAGCAATAGTTATCCAAATTCTGTTAGAAACAATCTATTAATAAATCATAAAATAAATGCGAAAAGTTCTAAGAAATACGCATCAATCATAGATAATAACTTGATGAAGATCATATGTTCTATAAATAAGACGGTAAGAACAAAAGTGTTAAAAAGAATTTTAGCTTGTAACGTAAACTTCGAGTGGTGGATATAAAAAACATAACGTAAAATAAATGTTTCTTTTAGATTAAAACATGGAAAAAAAAACAAAAAAAAAAAATAGAAAATAAATAAAACATAAACACAAAAAAAAAAATTATTTTTTCTAAAAAGTAAGGAGAGTTTTCCGCTCTTTTTCGTACATTGTGTTGATTCTTTCTATTTGTTAGTAGGTCAATTCGAAGCAGAAAAGGTAGACTATAACATCATGGGTTAATCGGCATCTATACCTTGTAATCAAGAGCAAGACAGGGCTCTAATACCTGGAGTAGGACTTGTTAGTTTAAATATTTCTGTTATATGGGATTTGAATCGTTTCTCGCGATTTATTAAATTCATAGATATGAAGGGTAAAATTGCGGCCTGTACGCTATGCTGTGCCGAAATCAGAAACCTTGGAATAGGCTGGAGATTTTCCAACGATTTGCACCTATTTTTCGGAATCATTCGACAAAGTTGATCATAAGGTATTGATCATAACGTATCGATTCAAAAGTTCATTCTTACATTTTCCTTTGTGCGGCTTGGGACTGAAGCCTTCCTTGCCATTACATCCTTACTAAAAGAGTTTGAAGCTTATTGGTTTGCTCTCTCTTCAAAAATGCTTGAAATGTTGGGCATGGTGTTTGTGGCTAAATGAATTAATAGCGACAAATTGCAGCAACTTATATCCTTTCTTCGATTGTTGCAATGTAATAAAAAAAAATTATATTATCATATATAATCGATAGTCCATACGTTCAGAAATATTGAATATTGAATATAGGTTAACTCACTTGAATGTGTTTTTTATCGAAATGCATTGGTTTTTGCCTTTCTCCTTTCAGTACTACCTCCTTTTCCTAAACTACTTACGTAATGAAATAATTTTCTTCATTTATTTTGGAATACATATCATAACGTTAGCTGTCAAGAATACAAAGTAATACAAGAATCGCAAACATGGGATTATCTTCTTCTATGAAACGCCAAAGGTCAACACTTAACTCTTATGCAAATGGTAAATTACTATTAACAAGACGAAGACGATATTGCTCTTCTAAGAAATAATAGCAGTCAATAGGTGTCGAAACTTTTATGAAACAATAATAATAATAATATTTTTTTTAATATATATACACGCCTACTAATAGTCAACTTTTATGGAAATTTATAGATTTCTGTGAAGCAGTTAAACACGCTTACGTTCTTCTTGCCAAGGAGCGGAGACCATCAATTAAATTATTTCGCGAACTATTTCTATGAAGCAATGGATTTTGGGAATCGATTTTTACATAGTACACAACACAACACAACATCATTTTTTTTTTTTAGTTGTTGGCGCTAGAAAACCGCCGTCTTATTATTTTTGCCCTCTCCGATTCTAATCCTTAACGGCAAAGAGCATTGAGTAGGTGACGTCTTTTAATAATAGATAAAATTGAGATTTCATCTCAGTCAGAGCTCAACATCGTGCGCAAAGAGGTGCGAAGAGAGTGTATCTTAAACTTTAACATTTTTTCGAAGAAATATTCGATATCAAATACTTTTTGAAAAAATCCTAAAATTCTCGTTATATTTTGATCAAACCGCTACAATATTTTACGATATTTTTTGTTCTCTTCTTAGGTATAAAATCAATATATCAATTTGATTTACAGCGAATTTTCGTAAAAATTACAAAACATAAGAACAAAACGAACATCATGTTGAAGTCTTTAGAATTTATGATCTTATCTCAAAAGATATATTTGAGTAAGAGTATGCTTATAAGCAGGTATGCTCTTAAATAATTTTAATTACTTTCACTAAATCATCTCAAAAGGCTTCGCTGTTTTTTGTTATTACTATTTTTTTCATTTTCTGAGCTTTAATTGAGCCTGAGCATGAGCATGACTAATGTACAACAAAATGCTTGAAACTTGGTGGTTTATCATGTGTACGTATGTATAAAAGAAATCAACAGCAAATGTACTGTGAAAAGTTGTATTATTATTTTTTTTTTTTTTTTGTTTCTTTTCAATGTACATATAACAAAGGAAACAAAAGAGACGAGAAAGGGAAAGCGAAAGAACTTATTTCGTACATGTATATATATATGTGTATGTCCTCAGGTTGTTTCCACTAAATTCTCGTTGACATTTTGACAAATTTTCGAACTACTAAGTTTGACTAAAACACAGCATGTTGCCACTGGTGGCTGGTTGGCTGATAGCTGTGTCGGTCTGTGTCCTCAATACGACTTTAGCAGTAATCTGATATCATTAATTGCTAAAGTATGAGAGAAAGAGAGATCTTGTAAAATGTATGGGATTTTTGACTATGTTTAGACATTTAAAACCAAGGTGGCCGGTATTTATTAAGAAGAGCAGAAAAAGTATAAACTTGTGTTGATCTAGTTAAATGACTCTTCGTTTTTTTTTTTATTTTTATTTTTTATGTGGTGAGAGGCGAACTAAACAGCAAACGCACACCACTTTGAATGTCATATGTTATCGGTTGAAAATCTTTTTTTTTGATTAACATTTTTTTTTTTTATTTTCCTGACGCTATTATGGAAGAAACAAAAGAGTAATAAAAAATCTTCGAAAAATTTTTATTTATTTTTCTGCAAAAGTGTTGATTTCCAAGTTTGTTAAAGATATTTTGTGTTAATTTCTAAATTCATTTTTAAAATTATGCTAAGTGGAATCATTAAACACCTCATTGCTTTGCTAAGAAATATCGAAACACGTAAAACAGCCATTAGTGACATGGATAAAGCGAATCTTGAACACCCACCATCTCTGTTAAGCTCATAAAATATTTTAATTGCGAAGGTGTGTGTGAGAGCCGATAGAAATATTGTTATGGTTTCGATAAAACTAACTTATTTAATTTTTTTCAAAGGTTTTGTTTTCAATCTTCACCTGTGG